GAGGAAGTTCCCTCAGCCTCAGCCTCTCAGGCAGCAGCCAGACCCACAGCAGGTTAGTGTGACCATGTTCTGTACCATACTGTGCAGTGCTGTTTCATCAGATCTCAGCCATTACTATTGTAACAATGTTTTGTACTATTGTGCTACAATAAGACAGTTTCCTTTAGTGTGAAGACAACACTAAATGGAATGTGGACGAACCTTGGTTAAAACTGTTCAGATGCCGTTAGTTCTTTACTTGGGTTAAAGGGTTAATTTAGATTTCTGTAAGAACAAAACATGAAAAATTAAGATTTAACATATTCTGCTGTCTAATTATTTACGCCCTGTGGTACCTTATTAATGTATCCCTCAGCAATGCAGATTGCAACTCTAATTATTTGGTAAACAAGGTGTTAATTTGCTAAGATGCTGTATGGCCACTCATTGTACTTAGCAGTTACTCTGATTTAGATTTTTTTTTTTGTCTTGAATCCTGTCTTTCTCAGCTGGCAAGGATTATGGCTATTCTGCAGCAGCAGAGACAGCATCAGCAGGGTGGAGTTGGAGGAACGGCAGCAGGAGGAGGGAGCTCCAAACTGTCTCCTTCTCACCTAGGAGGGGGGCATTCCAAACAGCCCATGTTAGACCCCCTTCCACATCCTGGAATGGGGGGCCCCTTGTCAGACCTTCATGCCAAAACCCAAGGGATGTATTCCGGTAAGTCTGGTATCTATAAATATAACCATTATAGGTGGTGTATGTTAGCTTCCCAAATATTATTGTGCCCTGGTACATGAAGTCATCAAATCCTCAGGTTTAGGATCAGTGGTAATAACATACAGCTATGCCCATCTGCAGCCTTAGATTCTCAGTATCCAGACGCTGGTCCATCTTTTTGTCTCGCCAGTAAGAACCACCTGGCCACAGGCTGTATTGAATTGAACATTAGTGGAGCTCATTGTGCCCATGAGTGTTTGTGGTGTTCCTCTTGTCAGGGCTACCCTCTGGGGGTAACCTGTCGGGACTGGAGCTTGGTCCCATGATGGGAGGGATGAAGGACACAGGAGGACAGCAGTCCCGATTCAAATGGATGATGGAGGGACATTTCCCAGCGCCTTCTCCCCCTGATACAACCCTTCACAAGAACGGTGAATATTTTTTGCAGGCTAAGTTCACCCCCCTCCCAGGCTGTTGTCAGTCTGGTGTTAACTGTGCTGGGAATCACCTTGATTCACAGTCTATCTGAAAGAATCAGTGATTTGAAACCAATTCATGTCAATCTTTTTGACCGTATTTCTCTTGTGTGCCATTTCCAAGGCCCGTTACCCAGTGCTATAAAGGTGAGAGGAGGATCCCCTTACTCCCAGTATGAAATGCTGGGTGGTGATGGTTTAGGGATTCCCTCTCAGGGTCCTGCAGACAACTGGCACCGAACCCCTGGTAGTAAATTGGGGAACAAACCTGCCATATCCAGCTGGCCTCCAGGTGAGTATGTGTTTCTCTAGTAGCTGTAACCTAAAGGTGATGAATTAGTATCAGATAGCAGTAATTGTCTATCTCAGAAGCTGCTGTTCTGTTCTTATTCAGTCCCTAATCTGGACAAAAGAAAAAGAACACAAATTAATGGCATTAAAATGGCCTTAATTTTATGGCCAATATGAACAAGATAAGAGGCCTAGTCAGATCGTCCCAAAGTAAACATCTTCAGAATAGACTTTGGCTATGTTCCTTGGTGTTTGATTTGAGGAAATGACATGAGTGTATCATTTCAAGCAGTTAATAGGTTTTCTGTTGTCTGATGACAGAATTCCAGCCCGGTGTGCCCTGGAAGGGAATTCAGAGTAGTGGGGATCCAGAGTCTGACCCCTACATGACCCCTGGTAGTGTCCTTGGTTCCCCAGGTCCCCCGAGCCTCAACGACTCTGACCACCAGTTACTGCGAGACAACATAGGTATTTGACTGTGTTCAGTATTTTGACGAGTTGTTGGTTTTAGCATTCTTACTTTAAAGCTTTACTTAAAAATCTCAAATCATTAGATTTTTATTAAGACTAGTTTCAAGTTTGTCCCAGATCACAGCAGAGTAGATTGCAGGGGTTTAGTGTTGTAATAACTTGTGACCATTGACCAGAGCATGAAACTGAATGAAAGCTTTTCTTTTTTAAACATGTGAAGATTACATTTCCACTTTAGTTTGTTATTACTACCACTGTGGTGAACATCAGCTGATCTAAGTCGTTAGGAAATGCCAAACTTGGACATAAGGCTGAAGATGACCGAATGATTCCGAACCTGTTTTTAGCATATTGCTGCCTTGATTCAGTGACTGACTCTGTTAAAAACAATTGTACAATGTGAGTTGTGTTGCAGATGCAAACGCAGCCAAAGTTTTTATAAAAACTTTTTTTAATCACATAACCTAACTTGTGTAAATACTTGAAAACTAGCAATGTAACGATATTCCTAATTTAGTGGTATTATGATAAAGTCTCAAAAATGCTGTGGGACTGTGAGAGTATCTACCAGGATATTACATAAGGTTATTTTGTTAGTATAACTGCATTCAGGTCACAAGACATAGTGTATGCATCATCGTTGACTTTTACAGCTGTCGTGTGTCAGCAGTTCAGTTTTTTTGTTTCAAGAAATGACACAAGCAGAAAGGAAACTGACAAACACTGAACAATTTGCAAATACTGTGGAACAAAGGCAATACTAGTCTTGTTTGAGCAAACTGGGTGCACATATGCAACAGCAACCACTTAGTAACCACCTATACTCTTTTTCTCTTGAAAAGTAAACTTCTGTGCTTGAAAAACACCTCCAGTAAAGCACTAATTTCACCTTTATCTGGCTTTTCGTAGTGTATTTTGGTATCTTCCCCTCATTCTAGTGGGCCAAGCAGCAAATTGCTCACTAACGCCCCTAGTGGTCAGGGTGATACCCGCTTCATCTAATCCAGTGACGAGGAACCCGACCAGAGGAAAAGTACAACCTAGCTAGGCTATAGGGAGTACTAAAAACACTGATGTTCCACTGTGAGTGTGACTTGTTTTGTTTACATAATCCAGCTGCTGCTTTGTGCACATCCTTAGGTCACGGCTGGCTACTTTATTTTAATAAAGAACGAAAGCAGGAGCACTTTAAGTTAAAAGGAAAATCATACAAGAAAAAGGCAGATTTATTATTTAGTAATGGCATTTTTCATCTTCATTTTTAATATTATGACAAATATCATATCATGGACTTTTTAATCGTGGCAATATCATACTGTGAGTTTTTGTTATTGTTACATTCCTATCAAAATAGTCTAGTGTTGTATTTTGACAGGTTGTGTGGAGAGTGGACAGTGTTCCTCACAGGCTCTATTTGCAGTCCAGCTGTAATATGGTCACCTTGTCCAGTGTATCCCAGGATGTGTTGCTCTTTGATAACCTCATAATCTTTTGTAGGGCCAAATCCCTCCCTCAACACCTCGCTGCCTTCACCTGGTGCCTGGCCCTACAGTGCCTCAGACAGCCCCCTCAGCAATGCACACAGCACAGGTAGATGTTTTCATTAGTTAAACTAGTTGGGTCCTTTATTTTTTTGTATTTTGACTATTGAATGCCCTTCATGTCAGTAATTCATTTGTTTCTGGTCACTATATTGTACTGGTGTGTACGTTTTGCCTTTTTCTTCTAAGATATCAAAAGGACTTAGCTGTAATGTCTCATCTCTTCTCCCATTTCTGTCATCTGTTTATCAAAACTCATTTCCCCCCATCTCCCACCTCCCTATTTCCTCTCCAGGAAAGTACTCAGAGTATAAGACCAGCTGGCCCCCAGAGCCCATCATGCCTGGCCCTACAGTGCCTCAGACAGCCCCCTCAGCAATGCACACAGCACAGGTAGATGTTTTCATTAGTTAAACTAGTTGGGTCCTTTATTTTTTTGTATTTTGACTATTGAATGCCCTTCATGTCAGTAATTCATTTGTTTCTGGTCACTATATTGTACTGGTGTGTACGTTTTGCCTTTTTCTTCTAAGATATCAAAAGGACTTAGCTGTAATGTCTCATCTCTTCTCCCATTTCTGTCATCTGTTTATCAAAACTCATTTCCCCCCATCTCCCACCTCCCTATTTCCTCTCCAGGAAAGTACTCAGAGTATAAGACCAGCTGGCCCCCAGAGCCCATCGGACAAAACAAGTTGTGGAAGACCAATCGCAACAGCTCACAGCTGCCACGCCCCCCTCCTGGCTTAACCAATCAGAAGCAGTCTTTTCCCTCCCCATGGAATAGCGGAGGTCCACGGTTGGCTCGGAGCTGGGGAGGGGGTGGGATTAATCAGGAGTCGAGATTTGGGCCAGGTATTGTTTATGTGGAAGAAATTTCATTATTTCATGACAGATTATAACCTGACCATATATCATACAGTGAAAGATCTTCATGACAGTGATATGACTCAAGATCTACAGTATGGTGAAACCTAGTACTGACCATATGTCATACAGTGAAAGATCTACAGTATGGTGAAACCTAGTATAGCAGTTCATTTAAATAAGGCCCTCATTAGTATAATCTCTGTGTTTGTCATTAACTATGTTTGTCATCTCATTATTACTTCCTTTTCCTTTATAGGCTCAGCTTGGAGCGACGGTGCGGCTTCCAGAAGCAGCTGCTGGTTGCTTCTGAGCAACCTGACCCCTCAGGTAAGGACTGGGAAAAATAGAGAAATGCTGAGGAGAGACCCATTTTCTGGGATTTTGTAGCAAATGTGATTAATTTTAAATGTTAGCAATGTTGCTTCCAGTAAGCCTGCTGTGTATTAACTGAAATAGTGCAAATGCGTGAGGTGCACGGGAGTATGCCTTACGTGTAATGAAGAATTATTTCTATTTCTTAAAACCCTTCACATCAGAACTAAAATAGCTGCCTAGACAGGTTGGTCAGAGTTGGATTTCAGAAGCATTAAACTGCTGTGCTCATTCATCTGTATTCCCCTTCAGTTTATCTTTTGCAGGTCCTTTGTCCTTTGTTGCCTGATTTTTCTATGTCCCTGTAATTGATGACTCAAGGATGCAAATAGTTACTGTAGCATTGTCACATCACTCACACACAATCTTTTAAACATTCCTTCTTCTTTCCTTATAGATTGATGGCTCCACGCTGAGGACTATTTGCATGCAGCATGGCCCCCTGCTGACCTTCCACCTCAGCCTGACCCAGGGCAGCGCTCTGATTCGCTACAACAGCCGGCAGGAAGCAGCCAAGGCCCAGGGTGCACTGCATATGTAGGTTAACCTGTAACCTCACTAATACAAATATACTTAGTGTTGAACACAGACCTGATCTAAAAAGCCTCATCTTGTAATTCCCACTCAGGTGCGTTCTGGGCAATACCACAATCCTGGCGGAGTTTGTGAGTGAGGATGAAGTCGCTCGTTATTTTGCACATTCCCAGGCCGGAGGGGCAGAGGGGGCCAGCTCAGGAGGGGTCACGGCCAGTGGGACGCAGGTTTCATCTGGAACAGGCACCACTGTGGCTACCAGTGGAGGCAGCTCCCCAGGGAGTGAGCGGGCAGCATCGTGCACAACTTCAGGAGGAAATGGAAATGCTGCTGGAGGAGGGGATAGTGGAGCAGCGGTTCTAGGTAGTGTGAGGTCCTCTGGCTCTGGATGGCAAAGTCTCGATGGTACAGGCAGTTCTTCAGAAACCTCTTCAGCCCAAGGACCGGGGCTGGGGATATTTTCCCAGTGGAGCACCAACGGCTCAGGGGAGGGAGGAGGTGTTGGAGGAGTGGAGTCTGGGAGGCCTGGGCTCTGGGGTGGTATGACTGCTGGATACCCAAGCAGCAGCCTGTGGGGGGCACCACAAATGGAGGAAAGGCACCAAATGGACAGCCCTGCCTCACTGTTGCCCGGCGACCTGTTGGGAGGAGGAGCTGATTCCATCTGATGAGCACCCTCCATTTGTACGAGTGGGTTTGGACACAATGATACAAAATACACTGGGATACATTTGTACTTACTATAGCACATACACGAACACATTTACATGGTATGCATATTAATGTACTACACATATACACACGTGCATACATACAAACATACATGGTATGCATATTAATGTGCACACAAAGCAGAAATGTGAGACATGCTTACACACATTCTTGTGGCCAGACTTAAGCTATTATATAAACAAATGCAGGGACTGTTAGGTGTGTATACAGCCTTTTTCCACAGATGAAGATTTCAACTGCTTAGACTTGAAACCTGAAAAAGAATGAAAAGTCAGTTGGTCTGACAGACTTGACTGGATTGCAACGTGCTTAGTAAATAGGGGACTTTTCAACAGATTTACATACACATGCACACACCAAATACAAACAAGCCTTCAGACAGATGGGCACTGTAAACAGCATTACCTTCATCTTACCTTCATAAGAGAACTTAAAACTACTACATGATGTGAGATTTAAGTGCAGTTTGTATTCACGTCCGCTTAAAGTCGGAGACCGAATTCAGACACATGCAAACAGCTCTGATTGACGACAGAACTGTATCTTACTGTGTATGTTAAGTTTGTTTATTCTGTTTGTTTGTATGTATGGTTTTAATTTTTGAACAGTGAATATATTGAAAAATGTCATTGTTCTGTTTTCAAAATGCTGACCTCCTACTGTTGTATCTCACGCACTCTTTCTCTGTTATTCTCTCTTGAACATGTTTGTTACTGTTGCAGTGATAAATGTTAAATTGCTGGCAGTTTGAGGTTACGTTGCATTTCTCAATGTGTCGATACTGTGTGCGGTATCACTGACACTATACGGACATGAGTGTGAGTGAGACTGAGACCAAGTAAGTGGATTAAACCACCAGAGTTGTGTGAATGTGAGGATAATGCGAGAAAACAGCATTTGTGCCAAGATTTCCAAACATACGGTCAGCAGTATACAAATGCACTCAAAACTAATTTTGTAGACCTTCTGTATAGTAAGCAGCCTTGCCCACATTATGACAGGCAGTAACATACACGCCCACACACACGCATTATCCTCACATTCACACAACTCTGGTTAGCTGACACCAGGAGCACTACCCAGCATACTTTGATAATGTATATTGTCTTCTGTGTATCTGTTATTAGAACATCCCTGATAATGTCATCAAGATTATCTATACATCTGGTTTTAGAATTTATAACAGAATGCCTGCATTACAAACTGGAGGTGTTTACTGTATTCAAACTACTATCAAAACTATTTTGGTTTATCTGTTTTACATTACAAGTATGCAAATCACCTTTTTCAGCTGCCAGTTTTGGCCAAGATTCTTGAATTTTTTTTCTTCTTTAGAGGTTAAATAAAGATTTTACTATTAAAACCTCCATCTATGTACAATCGGGTCAAGTCAAATCAAGGCAATTTTTATTTATATAGCCTAATATCACAAATCACAAATGTGCCTCCAGGGGCTACAGTACTAGAACTTCTGCATTATTTTGTAAGTATAAAAATATGCAAAAATATTCAGTTTGAAGACGTTTGGTAGAGCAAGTATGGACTGTGCAAACATGCCTCATACACATTGATTCCTCCTGACATCATTAATTTTTCTGGGCAATGACACAAGGGTTGTCACATCCAAAGACAGTCACAAAATACAGAATGTGTAAGCACTTCTAGATATAAAATAATCTACATATCCTAAGAGATTCTCCTCTTCTACATCACTTACCCGTCTCTCACTTCACTACATTCCAGGGACATCTTGTACTTTTTACTACACTACATATACTGTTACCCAACTGTTTGACAACTTTATATTTCAGAAACACATAAATGAAAAGACAGTTTAATCTCTATTTATCCCCAGTGAGAACTTCTCAAGCAGTATGTAAGTTATTGAAAATGATACCTTAGTTAACATTACTGCCACCTTTACAAACTGCACCATTTAAATGATGAACACAAAAATACACAATAATTATACTCCAATAATATACATATTAATGTAGAATGTGCCATTTTGCATAATGACTACTTATATATTGAAAAATGTCATTGTTCTGTTTTCAAAATGCTGACCTCCTACTGTTGTATCTCACGCACTCTTTCTCTGTTATTCTCTCTTGAACATGTTTGTTACTGTTGCAGTGATAAATGTTAAATTGCTGGCAGTTTGAGGTTACGTTGCATTTCTCAATGTGTCGATACTGTGTGCGGTATCACTGACACTATACGGACATGAGTGTGAGTGAGACTGAGACCAAGTAAGTGGATTAAACCACCAGAGTTGTGTGAATGTGAGGATAATGCGAGAAAACAGCATTTGTGCCAAGATTTCCAAACATACGGTCAGCAGTATACAAATGCACTCAAAACTAATTTTGTAGACCTTCTGTATAGTAAGCAGCCTTGCCCACATTATGACAGGCAGTAACATACACGCCCACACACACGCATTATCCTCACATTCACACAACTCTGGTTAGCTGACACCAGGAGCACTACCCAGCATACTTTGATAATGTATATTGTCTTCTGTGTATCTGTTATTAGAACATCCCTGATAATGTCATCAAGATTATCTATACATCTGGTTTTAGAATTTATAACAGAATGCCTGCATTACAAACTGGAGGTGTTTACTGTATTCAAACTACTATCAAAACTATTTTGGTTTATCTGTTTTACATTACAAGTATGCAAATCACCTTTTTCAGCTGCCAGTTTTGGCCAAGATTCTTGAATTTTTTTTCTTCTTTAGAGGTTAAATAAAGATTTTACTATTAAAACCTCCATCTATGTACAATCGGGTCAAGTCAAATCAAGGCAATTTTTATTTATATAGCCTAATATCACAAATCACAAATGTGCCTCCAGGGGCTACAGTACTAGAACTTCTGCATTATTTTGTAAGTATAAAAATATGCAAAAATATTCAGTTTGAAGACGTTTGGTAGAGCAAGTATGGACTGTGCAAACATGCCTCATACACATTGATTCCTCCTGACATCATTAATTTTTCTGGGCAATGACACAAGGGTTGTCACATCCAAAGACAGTCACAAAATACAGAATGTGTAAGCACTTCTAGATATAAAATAATCTACATATCCTAAGAGATTCTCCTCTTCTACATCACTTACCCGTCTCTCGATTCCCACATCAGAGATGAAGTAAAGCACAGAAAATAACATAAAAAAATCTATCCCCCCTGCTGGTGGAAATGTGGTCAAATAGGAGACTTCTCACATACTTTTTGGGAACGTCCACAGATTAAAAACTACTGGGAGGGGGTGATTAGAGAAATCAAAAAGATACTGAATCTTAATGCACCATTTGAAATCCACCAATTAGTTCTAAGTGATCCAATACTCAATGTGGGAGAGGGGAATAAGATGTATATGTTACGAGTCCTTATACTGATCGCTCATAAGGTAATTACAGGGAATTGGCTTAAACCAGATCCACCAACAATAGAACAATGGACTCGAAGAGTGAAAGTGGTGAAGGATATGGAAAATATCACAGCTACTTTGAGACTGCAGAAGGAGGACTACTTTAAAAAAATGGAAGCCTGTTAGCTTATACCTAGGAGAAACTGTCTAGGTCAAGGTAATTTAAGTTTCTCTCTGGATTTTTATTTTATTTATATGTAAAAATTTTATCTTCGCTTGTATGTATGTGTGAGAGCATTTGTCAAGGATATGTTTTAATAAATGTTCCAAAAAAAAATCTACAATGAACAGATGCTAAAATGAAGACAAGCAGGATAAACAACAAAGCTCTCCAGCATCATTGGACTATTTATTCCTGAACCAGCACAACCCGTGGCTGGCCTTGCTGCAGTATATTATGACTGTATGTCACACTAGAGCAGACCTGCCAGGGAACAATACAGGGCTATATGGAACAGGAAGGGCTCCTGGTCTACAGCTGCTATTTCAGCTTTTTTGAAGAATGTTTGGGTCGGGGGCTTTCTGGCTTTGTGTAGTTTTCCTGAATCCAATTAAGGAAGGAAGGGTGTGTGCTTAGTGTTGTTCTTCAGACCTGTATGAATGACAGTGGTTAAAGTATATTTTGATGCTCATAAATACAATTTTGATTGCAGGACTTTGTGGTACTGCTACTTTTACTTTAGTAAAGATTCTCAGTACTTTTTCCACCACTGATACTTGGCATATACCAACCGATAACGTTTATTGATCACATATTATTATTATTGATTCATTTAACAGTGCGTTGTAAGGAACGGAATAGTTAATGAATCGAAAAGCGTATTTCGTAAGGAGGACGTGGGTGTGACGTGTTTCACCACTGAAACCCGGAGAATGACATCATCACCATTGTGAGCGGACGTGTTGTTAAGTACCGAGGGGCGGAGACAGACTTGAGCGGAGAGCGGCCGCGTGTGTTCGAGCTTCTCAGGGACTATCAACAGGGAGCGCAACGGACGATAGAGCTAAGAGCTGGGGGTATGAACGCTGCCAGAATCCGCTCCCATCCTCCTCTGTCCGGGCCGCTGTCCGACTGACAACCACTGGATCAGAACCTCCACCGAAGCAACTCTCGGACGAACCCAATATTGGGTGACTGGGGATTCGTGGACCCGGAGAAACCAAGGGGGAAAAGGGCCCTGATTCGGCCGAGTCAGTCTCGTATTTCAGGGCTTACAGGAGAGGGGGAGGAGGCGAGTAGCAGGGATGGCTGTCCGCACAGGGTAGTCCACTACAGACCGTACACGGGTGCGGTTGTAAGTGTGATGTTGAAAGTGGTCAAGGGCGATATAACGACACTTTTCCAGCTTTTGTTATTTCGAAAATAGCTATGGTGCTGCACGTAACGTTAACACGGTTCGGTTAACGTATTTCTGTTAGCTTAACGTTACTCTTAGCAGCTAACAGTTCCTGTGTGCGGTTCGTATTTTACTAACGGTTAAAACCCCCGTAAATCTTATTAGTTTAGCACGTTAGACATCGTAACATGTTATTGAATGTAATTATTGTTATTGAAACAGATCTTTGTTGTTGTAATCTCAACGGGCTTCTCATCAAGCTGTAGCCAGGAAGACAACTTTAACTTGACATCTGATTTTGCCGTTGAAGAGCGCATCATTAATTAAACTGTGTGTTTGTTTGGTAGGTTTGATGCATTAGTTTAGTGAGTCCGTTACACACGAGTTGACCGTGACAGCTGCAGCATGTGACTGAAATCCTACGGCTCTCTAACACTTGTTATGCACCGTAGCATCTTAACCAGTCGACTGCTCTGTGGACGATTACTACCTCAGTAGCACATGATGTTTTTGCTGAGTGCATTTGTATACTGCTGACCGTGTGTTTGGAAATATTGGCACAAATGCTTTTTTGTCTTGTTTGAAGT